CCTGGGCGCGGTGGAGTAACAACTGGCCCAGCCGCTTTTCCCTGTCTCCCGACGCTGACCAGGGGCTCCCCACGTCACCAGCCCCACCATAGAACCGTGGAGGGAGTGGGATGGGAGGCCGGCCCGCAGGCCCTGGAAGGCCCCACGCCAGGTCAAGCAAGTGGCAGGGCTCAGTGAAGAGCCGAGCCAGGTGGAGGATTCAGACCTGGCCAAACCGGCCGGCTCCGCCCCCACCTGAGAAAATGGAGGCAGCCCTGGGGTCGGTGGCTGGTCTGGTGTGGCAGGCGGGAGACGGACGGGGGTCTGCCTCGTAAGCACGGCTGGTCTGTGGGTCACTCATAGAGCTGGACAGTCCGGGCAGCTCTCTCTCCATTTCCGCGTTGGCATGGACCCCGTCTGGATTCAAGTTTTTAATTAAGGTTTTTTATATCTCTCTGAAATAATCTTGCATTTTATTTTTTATGTAAAATGTTTCATTGTACAAGCATATTAAACTATTTATATTTAGTGTTTTGGGCAAGAGAATTTAGAAGTAATGGATTAACATCTCTTCTGGGAGGCAGAATGACACTGTGACCTAACAGATTTGGTCGAGTTATAATTTGCTTTGTTCATTTGACTGAGATTGGCCCTATTAGTTGGTAACTATTTTTGGATTGAAGACTTCACCTGGAATAAGCTGATTTCACCAGCAAGAATTAAAAACCCACTTTGAATCATTAAACCAAGACTATTTGTAAACATGTCAGGATTTCGTAGCATCATTTTGGAAAGACTTCATATCTCCTTGCACCAATTTCTTAATAATATATTCTTCAGTGGAATGTATCACGGCTATTTTCATTCCCTAATGGTCATTAAAAAAAGATTTTATAAATGTTATCTATAATGGTACTGTAAATGTAATTAAAACTTAAGCAGTCCTTGCACCAATTTCTTAATAATATATTCTTCAGTGGAATGTATCACGGCTATTTTCATTCTCTAATGGTCATTAAAAAAAGATTTTATAAATGTTATCTATAATGGTACTGTAAATGTAATTAAAACTTAAGCAGTAGGACTCCACAGTCATAAGTAATTTCTTCATTAGCAGTACCTAGAATAAGGTGAGGAGAGGGAAGAACTGGGGGTTGCCTTTGGGTTTGGCTTAGAAAACCAAGTTTTTGTTTCCATTGAGAATATATGTATATGTTTCCCATTCACACAATTGGTATAAATGTATTTGAAGGTGTAGGTGTAAATAATTAGGATTAAAATGCTTTATGAACTGTCTGTATCATATTTTTATCTGTGATAATATTTAATACACAATTTGTTTTCATAGAATTGGATTATCATATCCAAGTTTATTCCTAAATACAGGAAGGCATAAAATATACTCATATTTTAGTAATGAATCATTCTAATGATATTAGTTTGTTAAAATTTTCTCCTTTGAAACTGAGTTAAAAGTATTCCTTGCTCACAAAATTATTTTTCTGGAATTTGTTCATTTCTTGTTTAAAAGGACCAACTGGAAATACTTACAGTAGCACTACTAACAAAATAATAATAAAACTTTCGTTTCCCAATTGCCAAATGGATGCATTATCTGTTAGATTTGTTGTGTTTTACAGGACCTGCTCAAAAAATATACATTTAATTTCTGTGACTCACATTTAATAGATTTTTAAAGACAACTTCAAAGCATTTGCCTGTGAAGATAGCTGCTGTCTCATGTAGTTATTGATGATATTTTATTTTAAAAATCTGATGAACTCTTTAATTTCTATGTCAATTCAACTATACTGTGAAAACCGTTTATTGAAAAGTGCCATACAATCACATATGCGTTATTTTGTTTCTATTAATAGGTCAGTAGAAGTTATACAGTTATGTGTGAGCTCCTGAAATAACAGAAAGAATAGGTGGTATATAAAATGAAATGTGAAGGTATATTATTCTTTCCCTGTTCTGGGAATACTTTTTCTTTTTCTCTTATACTTGAAAGCCTGAGAGCAACCTTCACTCTCACTTATTATGAGGAATCAGGAGATGATATTTTCAAGACACTGAATTTTATAAATATTGTAATCTTATCAACCTTCCATCCCCTTCTCTCTTCTCTTTTTTCTGCAGGTGATTTCTATTCACTACTTTCCAAGCTGCTAGGAGAAAGGGAAGATGTTGTTCATGTGCACAAGTATAATCCTACAGAAAAGGCAGAATCAGAGTCAGACCTGGTAGCTGAGATTGCAAATGTAGTCCAAAAAAAGGATCTTGGTCAGTCTGATGCCAGAGAGGGTGCAGAACATGAGGAGAGGGGCAATGCTATTCTTGTCAGAGACAGAATTCACAAATTTCACAGACTAGAATCTACTTTGAGGCCAGCAGAGAGCAGAGTTTTCTCATTACAGCAGCCCCTACCTGGTGAAGGTACCTGGGAACCAGAACACACAGGAGGTGCGTTTAGGGTTTCTTTTAAGTAATAAAGTGTGAAACGATGCAATCCACATTAGCAAAATCTGAAGGGAATAAAAATTAATGGGTGAAAAAACTCATCAATGAAAAGGATTTATCGTTAGAAAAATCATTACTCAGATTTGGGTTATCAGATATCACCTGTTTGAGGGTTTTTTTTCTTTTTGCTTTGGTCCAATACTACATAAATTCAGTATCTGTTCAACTGGTGAGCCCCAGAAACTTTTTAGTTTTTAGAACTATTTTTTTAGACCAAAAAGTGTGGATTATTATGGGAAGGGTGGCAAATGAAATTCAGGGTAACAAATTCTTACCAAATCAACATTTTCCATTTTGCTCAGTGGAAAGAAATTGAAAATTCCGAACCTGATATGTAAAGTCCCAGTGTGTGAAATACTTATACACTATCTTCTTTTAAGGTAATTAAATTCCTCTCAAAGGAATCTTATTCTTTCAACATTCTCATCCGATTGACTTGTATAATGTAATCATTTTTATGACTTTGATTTCTTAAGTTCCATTATCAATTACTATCTTAATTGGCAAGTTGAGTATTTATTTCTGAAGGGACCTCCAGTAAGTCAATAGCTATCAGATTTATCTTTATTTCTAACCAGGATTGGCTGCCATAATTAGAGGGCAATACCTTATTCCCTTCAGGTTTCTGTACCGGCAAGCTATGGATGCCTCATCTTTGTGTATAATTGTGTGGTGGCCTCTGTGATATTGATTGTGTTTCATGTTACTTGCTAATGTGGAAAGCCAGCTTATACAGCATGTGGAGATAATCTCCAGAAAAGTAACAGATATGCGTGCATGGCAGCTTGTCCGTGCATGGGCTGCAATGGCTCAGGCTGCCAGCTTGATGTTTTCAAATTCAGCTTTGCGGAAGGCCATAAATTATTTAACACCCAGCTGATTTTTATTTATTATTGAAAAAAATTAGCATGCAGCACCTTTTGCTCACACAGAAGTTTCAAGCATTGTCCACTGGGACTGGCCTAATGATTTCTACGAGATGTTAACTAGAATCCGGATTTTTAACTCTTCATATTGAAACAGGATCAGCACTGATCTAACTCACTCTAAATTTATCTAATAAAACTGTGTTTCTCAAGATATGGTCTCTGTAGCCCCTTGCCTCAGAATCACCTAGGGTGCCTAAGAAAAAGCTAGACTATTGAATCTTATCAAAGAACTATTGTATTGGTATCTCCAAGTATGGTGCCTAGAAATCTGCAGTTTATCATGCCCTTATCCATTTCATAAACATGCAGGAGTGTCTGTCTGAATGTCTATAGAAAGGACAATGACTAATACAAACAATGTGGAAATATAAAAGGCAAAAGGGCTTCATTGGTAAGAATACAATTCTGTTCAAATATGAAATGTGAGAATTGCAGCATGCTTTATGCCATGATTGGTCTTTGTTACTTTTGGATTTGAAATGATATCATTGTCATTTATAGTCATTGTAAATGACAACGTAAAAATCAGAGTTTGACCTAAAGCATTGTATTCCTGAAGCCTACTTAGTTTTTAAAAATATGTCTGAAATACATTTCCTTGCCAAATATTTTCCTACATCCCAGGGTGGTCAAATGGCAGTGCTCAGGGAAAAGTGTTTCTCCAGGATCTGGTTTAGAAAGTTTCCTTTTATCTTATATATGTGGGTGAATGTTAGTAAAGTGAACAAAGCAATGAGTTGTAGAAACATACAGCATAAATCCTAATTATAGAAAGGAAATGTGTGTATATATATATATATACATATATATATAACAAAGCAATGAGTTGTAGAAACATACAGCATAAATCCTAATTATAGAAAGGAAATGTGTGTGTATATATATATATGTATACTTTCTGAAATGATTTAATATCATTTCAATTAAGTCTAATTCCAAAATTTTAAAAAATTAAATGAAAAATAGCAAAACTCATATTTAGGTAAGTTATTTCTTTTTTTTTTTTTTTTTT